AATAAATTTTAGCATGAAATCGTCAAAAAGTTCTTTCATTTCGAGAATTTCGCCCCCTTTCCTCGAACCCCGGACCCGCCCTTGTCTACTCTCTTATTAGATATATAGATAGATAGATAGATACTTTATTCTCTAAAACCAATCTTGACATTGATTAGATATAGAAAGATGTGGTATGAGTGCCAATGAGACAACTCTCCATCAAGTAACAATTTATAAAAGTAAATCATTATAGGTCAAGGTACGGCTTTCAACACGGAGCATTGGCTCACACCGAACAGTAAGCTATAAAGGGCCCCAAAAATTACTAGTGTAAAACCATTCAAACGGGAAAACCAACGGTCTAATCTATATAAAAACGAGAAACGAGAAATACGTATGAACTACATAAACAGACGACAACTACTGTAATCAGATTCCTGACTTAGGACAGGTGCAAACATTTGCAGCGGGATTAAACGTTTTAATGGTACCAAATCTTCTCCCTTTTCTGAAACAATAGTATAACATCACAACATAGAAAGACACACTATAAAATATCAATTGGAAGGCTTAACTCAATCAAAAAACGTAACACACAATGAACGAATAAATTTGATCTGTGATACCTGATTGCAAATATATAGTTAATAAAAATTAGAAGGGATAAATAATTATGGTCAAACGGAAATTGACTCATTATCTGCCACCATCATATGATTTGAATATTTCTACTTAGCAAGTCTTAACCAGTAAAATTTATATCTTAATCTTGAACATGTTTACAGTTTACAGATATATTGGTTAAAACAGCTGATCTGGAAGATATAACATGCCACCATACATCATGTCCTGTGATGAAGCAGACGAGGATATGCATTACCAGACTAACGAAAGCTTAATACTTTTTAGGCTAGTTGACAGAGTGCACTAGAGCGTTGGATACATTGCAGACGGAGTTTCTAATATATCACAAAAGCATGGTTTTCATATCCCACTGAGGGACAAACATTTGCTACGTAGGGCTATCTATTCAAACGAAATGTATACCACACACACAAACACATCATTTTGTTTTTAGAGACACCGGACTGACGATATCATTTATTGTGCGTGTCACTAAAATAGATTGCATTGCATATAATATTGTTCTACAAATGTTTAAAATGATATTGTTTATATGTTATATACCCTCACGGGCCCTAATTTGATGTATATATTATTCTATTCTTAGAGGATTTGGAAGGAGTAAAATATTTTGTTGAGGGGTCAATACAATATTTTTTAAGACATTATACCGTTAATATTAATTTTATGAATGAAATTTGTAAAGGTCCTGCAAGATTAGGAAAATATAAATTAAAATAAATGGGGAATGTGTCCACAGATGATGCCCCCGCTTGCATACAAAGTTATAAAGGGACATAACTCAAGATAGTAAAAGTGTCGCTACCCAAATTCGTACTTGATCTGAGTTCTGTGGTAATAAGCATTATGTACATAAGATTCATAACAATTGGTTGATGCAAACTTAAGTTGAAAAACGGAAACGAAAAATTCAGCAATTTTTCCATTTGTAAATGGGCATAACTCAAGATTGGTAAAAGTGACGCCAACAAAATTCAAATTTGATCTGTGTTTTGTGGTAATAAGCATTGTGTATACGTTTCATAACATTTGGTCGAGGTAAACTTAAGTTAGAGAACGGAAACGTAAAATTCAACATTTTTTCCATTTGTAAAGGGGCATAACTCTAAAACAGTATAAGTGACGCCACCAAAATTCAAACTTGATCTGTGTTTTGTGGTAATAATCATTATGTACATAAGATTCATAACAATTGGTTGATGCAAACTTAAGTTAGAAAAAGGAAACGAAAAATTCAGCAATTTTTCCATTTGCAAATGGGCATAACTCAAGATTGGTAAAAGTGACGCCACCAAAATTCAAACTTGATCTGTGTTTTGTGGTAATAAGCATTGTGTATAAGTTTCATAACATTTGGTTGAGGCAAACTTAAGTTAGAGAACGGAAACGTAAAATTCAACATTTTTTCCATTTGTAAAGGGGCATAACTCTAAAACAGTATAAGTGACGCCACCAAAATTCAAACTTGATCTGTGTTTTGTGGTAATAAGCATTGTGTATAAGTTTCATAACATTTGGTCGAGGTAAACTTAAGTTAGAGAACGGAAACGTAAAATTCAACATTTTTTCCATTTGTAAAGGGGCATAACTCTAAAACAGTATAAGTGACGCCACCAAAATTCAAACTTGATCTGTGTTTTGTGGTAATAATCATTGTGTATAAATTTCATAACATTTGGTTGAGGCAAACTAAAGTTAGAGAACAGAAATCAATTCGGGACGTACGTACGGACGGACAAGGGTAAAACTTAATGCCCCTCCGCTACGGCGGGAGCATAAAAAACAATATAACAAAACATTGCCATACGGTGGCTTGCTGTCTTAGGGTTGCTGATTCAATGTTATTAAACCTTGCCATACGTAAGGTTGTGTTACTGTCTAAAGCGATTTATATCTTGCGGTGAATCTCACCTCTAGTACATTCATATTGTTGCTGTTTTATGTTACATAATATTACATAAACACATAAACACATAAACACACACCTTTATACAGTTTTACAAATGTTACTGTTGACGGCTGATTGGATTCACTTCATTAATTACAACGTATGATCTAGTGGCATGAGACATCTGCACCCAATCTAACGATTTACTTGTACTTCAAAAACTACATTTTAAATGAAAAATATCAAAACTAAATGTTAATTATCTTTATGATTTATATAAAAATAAGGAGATGAGGTATGACTGCCAATGAGACAACTATAATATGTTTTATGTAGTTCCCTTTAATGAAGTTTTCCAACCATGAATGAATTATCACGATTTAATCTTTCTGCTGCAAACACGGAACGTTACATCTGTTTATCTTCAAAGAACTACATGTATTTCATAAAATAAATAAGTTAACAGGAAATAACATGAATAAGTGATTTTGAAATTTTGAAATCACTTGATCAGTAAGTCTAAAGTGTTGCACAGAATTATTTAAACACTTGATCAATAAGTCTAAAGTGTTGCACAGAATTATTCAAATACTTGATCGGTAAGTCTAAAGAGTTGCACAGAATTATTTAAACACTTGATCAGTAAGTATAAAGTGTTTCACAGAATTATTTAAACACTTGATCAATAAGTCTAAAGTGTTGCACAGAATTATTTAAACACTTGATCAGTAAGTCTAAAGTGTTGCACAGAATTATTTAAACACTTGATCAGTAAGTCTAAAGTGTTGCACAGAATTATTTAAATACTTGATCGGTAAGTCTAAAGAGTTGCACAGAATTATTTAAATACTTGATCGGTAAGTCTAAAGTGTTGTACAGAATTATTTAAACACTTGATCAGTAAGTCTAAAGTGTTGCACAGAATTATTTAAACACTTGATCAGTAAGTCTAAAGTGTTACACAGAATTATTTAAACACTTGATCAGTAAGTCTAAAGTGTTGCACAGAATTATTTAAAAAAGGAGTTGTTTACCTTTATTTCAAGTCCGAAAGCACTAAAATACTAATAACTGTTAGCTAGATAGGTGGAAATAGTACAGTTAGATGCATGATATAGTGAAGTGTTCTCTTTAACCACAGACAGGGGAATTACCTATTTTAATCACTAGTTTAAGAAGCATTTCTTCATTCCCAAAAATAGGACATAAACTAGCAACTATAAAAAAAATTACAAATAATACTGTTGAAAATGATCTGACGAACGTAGGTAAAGCGTTTGAAAATGTTTGAAAAATTCACCCCAAAAACTGAATAAAATGTAAAAAAATGAAAAAGGAGTACAACAAAAAATTATTGTACACCTTAAGTAAACCTAGATCTGGCTAATCATTTTCAACAGTATTTTTGTAAAAAAAAAATGTGTAACTTTTTTTCATTATTGCTAATTTATGTCCTATTTCTGGGAATGAAGAAATGCTTTTTAAAATCACTTGTTAAAACAATTCCCCTTACTGTGGTTAAACATTATACTTCGCTATATTATGCACCCAACTGTACTATTTCCGCCTATCTTGCTAACAGTTATTAGTATTAAGAACGTAAGATTTTAATTTTTGCATTATTTACATTTTCATTTGTTCATTAGAATAACTTTTTTTGACTTACTGAATAAGGAGATGAGGTATGACTGCCAATGAGACAACTATAATATGTTTTATGTAGTTCCCTTTAATGAAGTTTTCCAACCATGAATGAATTATCACGATTTAATCTTTCTGCTGCAAACACGGAACGTTACATCTGTTTATCTTCAAAGAACTACATGTATTTCATAAAATAAATGAAGAAATGCTTTTTAAAATCACTTGTTAAAACAATTCCCCTTACTGTGGTTAAACATTATACTTCGCTATATTATGCACCCAACTGTACTATTTCCGCCTATCTTGCTAACAGTTATTAGTATTAAGAACGTAAGATTTTAATTTTTGCATTATTTACATTTTCATTTGTTCATTAGAATAACTTTTTTTGACTTACTGAATGGTAGTTTCCTTTGATGGCAAATTAAAAAACATGATTCTAAATGTGTATTTGAATCAACGTAATTTATTCTCTCGTTTTCTTACTCTTCAATATAAAATGCTAAAAGCGTGAAGAATTAAGCTTTACCGAAACTATCTTTACTTACACACATACAAATTTGTTTGTCGTTTTTTTTTTCATCCTTATTCATAAAAGTCATAAGCGGACTTGTAGTATTCCATGAGATATTGTATATTATATACGACTATCTATCCAAATTCATTACACGGACCTTATCCAGAACAGAAAGTTAAACGTTTCATAAATACATAAAATAGGTTTGGAATATAAAAGCAAAAATCGCCAAACAACTTTCAATTATTAAAATAAAACAGCATTTCGTAAGTAAATAAAAAAAGAAAATTATAAAAAATCGTGAAAGCATAAAGATCATCTTACCTGCGCATGTGACAAAATCATTAATTAAGCCAAACACCACAAGTAAGGTTGCAGAATAAAACATCGTCTGAAAATACTGGATATCCAATTAGTATGTCTTAGTGTGGTCAGCTGCGAATCTCTTACAACATATGATCAATCAGCACTTCTCAGCATAGTATAGTATGCACTTGTATCAACGGAACAGAACCATCGAAAGTTGGAGGCTTGCCAGCGAATTGTTTATTAATATTATATAAAGTTATGATAAACAATTAATCTCATGCCTTTTTGATCCGGGGATATAAACAATTGTGTGATTTTATACCATCTTTTTAAATGTTTAACCACATTGACGTTTACTATCCATAACGGTGTTTATATGCATTTCAATTATTTAACAAAATATTTTCGAAGGACTTGATAAGATTTTAAATTCTTAGACGAATCATAAATTATCTAATGTACATTTAAACATGAAATTATAGAGATAATTGTATTTTTCTTTTTACTTGCTTTATATTACGTGGAACCAGGAAACAAAACTAGGCCTTAGAGATTTGTGTAGTTAAGGAACAGCTCGTGTTTTTTTTTAAATAAAACTACTTTATCAACCGTTTTAATACTAAGGTATTACGTGGAAGTGGAACCGAATAAAATTCGATCTTGACCTGTCAGTTCTCATGGTAAAACTACATACCAAATATCAAATCAATATCTTCAAGTATAACAAAAAAAAAAGAGCGAAAAACTGATTATTTGCGTGATTTTTTTTAAGTCCGAGGACCATAACTCTGCAAAAAAAATCATCCGAACCGAACAAAGTTTAAACGTGGTGGTAAAACTATATACAAATATCAATCAAATTCTTCAAGCATGTTGAAAACAAAATGCGGAAAAATGATTACTAGCGTAAATTTTCGAAGTCTAAGGACCATAAATCTGCAAAAAATCATCAGACCAGAACAAAATTCGAACTTGTTCTGTAACTGGTCATGGTAAAACTATTTACCAAATATCAAATATCTTCAAGCACGAAAAAAAAGTGAGTAAAACTGCTTTGCCGGACTGACAGATAGACAGATGGATGGACGGAGTGCAAACCTAAAGTCTCCTATCGATGATCACATACTTATTATACAAATCACTTGTTCTAACTGCCCTGTTGACAACTTAATCTCCCAGTTATAAAGTAAATGCAGTTTCAGGACGAGAACATGTTATGGAGCCCTGCTTTGCACGAGCCGGATTTTTAGCGCGCTAGTTCACATGTTCACTAGTTCGTCTGCAGAAAGACATATCACTCTACCCGGACGCTATATACTGACTCTACTCTGATACTATCAGTCTTTGCTCTTACTCCTTTACACCATGTGCTTAGCGGAGTAGCAGCAAATACCAATTTCAAAGTCTTCTTTTGACCTGGTCGGGGATCAAAGCGACGACCTCCCGCACTCGAAGCGAGCACGCTACCACGATATCACCGAGGCATACATTCATATTATATAAGTATATCATATCATCAGGTATTTTGGAGGAGGCGATTTTTTGCATATTTAGAAATGAGATTGTTATGATAGATATTAAAACTAATATATATGGAATAATAAACTGTTAACACAGAGATATGTCTCGCCTATTTGTTGTTTTGATAATGCAAATGTTGAAATTAAAATAGCAATACTTTAACACATGTAAACTAAGCAAAGTTTCAAAGTCAACAGACCATGCCTGAGGGGCAGGGCCAAATAATCTCCACGGTAATGAGATGTGCCAATGCTAATACAACTGCATACCAAATATCATTGACCTACCACTAGTGGTTCACCATAAACTAGACCTAATCACAAACTAATACATTGTTGACGCCGACGCCGGAAAAAGCATACCTATGTCTCGCTTTTTGACTCCGTGAAGGCGAGACAAAACTAACCACAAATATGATTAGCATAATTCTAGTTTTTCATGTCATTTAGGGTATTTCTTAGTAGGATCGTCCTGAATATGCATTTTAATTTGCCGCTGAACGTTAAGTAGCCAGCCACCATCATCATCTTATAGGAGTTTTTTTTATCGAGTTGTAAAAAGTGAGAATCGAGTTGTAAAAGTGAGTATCGAGTTGTCAAAAGTAAGTATCGAGTTATAAAAAGTGAGTATTGAGTAACAAACAGTAGATATCGAGTAGCAAAAAGTTAAAATCGAGTTATAAAAAGTAAGTATCGAGTTACAAAAAGTAAGTATCGAGTAACAAAAAGTAAGTATCGAGTAACAAAAGGTGAGTATCGAGAAACAAAAAGTGAGTATCGTATTGGAAAACTAGAGTATCGAGTAACACAAGTAATAATCCAAACTGTGTTATTTGTAAATAAAATTGTTTTACCGAACGATTATCGAATTGATTAATTGAATATTGGGTACCAAAGAAAGTTTTTTTACACTTCCTAGGCATGCAGGGTTTTATAGCATGATTAAGTCTGTACAATATACAGTACACTTCCTATGCATGCAGGGTTTTATACCATGATTAAGTCTGTACAATATACAGTGTACATCCTACAGGCATGCAGGGTTTTATAGCATGTTTAGTCTGTACAATATACAGTACACTTCCTAGGCATGCAGGGTTTTATATCATGATTAAGTCTGTACAATATACAGTGTACATCCTACAGGCATGCAGGTTTTTATAGCATGTTTAGTCTGTACAATATACAGTACACTTCCTAGGCATGCAGGGTTAAATGGCATGTTTAAGTCTGTACAATATACAGCGTACATCCTACAGGCATGCAGGGTTTTATAGCATAGGGTAACAGTTCAATTAATCTTTACATGTTGAAGCTCAGTAGATTACTTTTTCTCTTGGTGTACAGTACACTTCCTAGGCATGCAGGGTTTTAGTAGATTACTTTTCTTTTTTGTGTCGTTTGGGTTGCTGTCGCACTCGTTAAATGTAAACATAAATTTTATTTTATTTTCTCATCAGACATTTTGTCAAAAGATGGGACTATACTTTCTACTTCCTGAAAAAGTTGTTGATTATGTTTTTTTAAAATTGCTTTAAAATGATTTGTCAAAGTTGTCATAATCTTGTGCAACTGCACTTAACGGAGCAGCTTTAGGAAGATTTGTTAACATTAGTCATAAGAAACCAGCAGGCTATTAGCCGCAGATTTTAATTTCTCGATGATTTTAATGAATCTTTTATATAAATTGTATGTAGACTGGTTTTGAATTATTGAATACCATCATCTATTTGACGTTAATAAATGAAATGTTATTCCATCCGTCAGATCAATGGTATCACAGTGTGGTTCCTTACTAAACTTATCGGCCATTATGTGGATTATTCTCTTACACCAATAGTTAAAACCAGTTATTACGTAACACAAAGTTTATAAATTATATATTTTTTTTCCGTTTATAGATTGCGTACATTATTACCGAGTTAAATCTAAGATTGCGATCCAGTCATGCGTCTTTTGTGGTAATATTTTATACAAAGCACAAAAATGCCGCCATTCACCTCAAAAGCTAACCAAACTTTTAAACAGACTAATTCGCAAGGGATATAGTTACGATACTGTTGTCAGGTCATTAAATATGTCATTTGTTTGGAATTAATATTGATTCACTCATATGGTCTGAAACCCGCCTCCGGGTGCGGGATTTTCTCGCTGTGTCGAAGTCCTATTGGTGTCCTTGGGCTGTTTTCTGCTCTTTGGTCGGGTTGTTGTCTCTTTGACACATTCCCTATTTCCATTCTCAACTTTATTTGCATAGGAAATAAAAACCTTTATTCTAAAACCAGTTGTTGGCATGAGACGGGTTATGTTCTCCTCGTATAATACATGATGGCATAACGAGAGAGATTGCGGTTGATTTTTATATGACGAGACATAATCTTTCAATCAATTTAATTGAGGTCTGGAGCTATCAACTGCTCGTAGTCCTTGGTTAATGTATGTCGTTGTCTCATTGGCACTCATACCACATCTTCTTATATCTATTGTCATTGTCATTTTGCTTAGTTTCTTCTGTTACATATTCTAGAATTGGACTCGGACTTCTTTTGAACTGAGTTTAACTGTGCGTGTTGCTGTGTGTTTGTTTATTCCATATTGTCTAGAGGTATAGGGGGAGTTGAAATCTCATAAAATATATTTAAGCCGCAGCATTATTGCGTCCATCCCAAGTCTTGAACCACTAGCATTTGTTAGTCTGGTGTGGTGTTCTTATTTTAAATTTTGGCTTATTTGTATGTTTCGGAGTTAAGTGTGACCTCAATTTCGCTGAACAAGTATACATGATTGTTTAGGGGCCAGCTGAAACCCCCCATCGGGTGCGGGATTTTCTCGCTGCGTTTTTTTTTTGTGCACTTCGGTAGGGTAGTTGTCTCTTTGACACATTCCCCGTTTCCAATCTCTATTCTAAGTTGACATGAGAGTGTTTTGGCTTTGCTGTTTCGGCTAATTTAGTTTTTCGCTTAATGTCCATGTATTTTTACGCTCAGGGCCCATTTATTTTTACGCTCATTGTCTATTTAGTTGTACCGTGCCATACCAATTTAGTTTTAGCTCAATGCCCATTTATTTTTACACTCAAGGCCCATTTATTTTTACACTCAATGCCCAATTAGTTTTACACTCAAGGCCCATTTATTTTTACACTCAAGGCCCATTTATTTTTGTGCTCAATGCCCATACATTTTTACGTTCAGGGCCCATTTATTTTTACACTCATGGTCCATTTAGTTTTACCGCGCATTGTCCATTTATTTTTAAACTCAAGGCCCAATTAGTTTTACACTCAAGGCCCATTTATTTTTACACTCAAGGCCCATTTATTTTTGTGCTCAATCCCCATACATTTTTACGTTCAGTGCCCATTTATTTTTTACACTCAAGGCACATTTAGTTCTGCTGATTATGGTCCATTCAAGTTCAACACTCACATATGGAGTTTTATTCATAGGACTTTACAATTTTATGATTTAAGCACTTCTGGTGGCAGTTAATCGAGTAATATGTGTTACATGAATATTTTTCTCCATGGTTTGATTTAACTGATTCTGACGCTCACAAACGTTTTTATTTACTGGACTTCAAAAAAATATTTAGTCTCGAGTGTATCTTTTAATTTTAGAAACCTGTTTCGTGTACATTGAACCGGAATCAATCATTAATATTTCCAATGGATTCTATTATCCTGGTACAACCTTTCATAATATAAATCATTTAGGGAAATACTCTGCTCTTATCACCCTCTCCGGGAAACAACAAAAAAAGCAAGTATAA